AATTACTTGTTTGAAGATTGGTTGCCATGGAGACTAACAATGTTCTGGGCCTGCAGTAGTAGCGGTCTGTCAATCATGTGACCTTCGTACACAAATGCCCCCTGGGGAACAGAGGGGTTAAACAATATAATACACAAGGGTTAATTGGTGAGTGGGAGTGAGACAACCTAATCATGATTTATTGCCAATAGCATTATAAACTAGGAGCAATATGTGTGGTACATACAAGAGTGTCACGCATGCTAAGGAATTTCAATTAGTCACTCATAGGAAGTGTAATTCCGTCACTTGTGGGAAGTTTAACTTCCTCATCCCTCCTGTTTGTCACGACAGTTGGGCGTGTGTGCATACATGGCTGGGGAAGGGAAGTGATCCAGGATCAAGGCTTGGTACAGCAAGGTCACGAAGGCAGCAGTAGAGATGAATCATAAGTGAGGTATGAAAGGCAAAACAAGTGAAAAGCAACAAATCAACGACACCCAGGACACTACATGTAGTGTAGCAGACTGACCTGTCCAGAGTGTTGGTGGTGGTTGAAGGCAGAAATGAGACGTGAGGCCCACTCCACCCTCTCTTCACTGGGAGAGAAGGCTTCCTGAACCACTGGCACCTGAGCTGGGTGGATGACCTTAGAGAGAGGGAGGGATTGGGAGAAGGAAGTTGAAATGTTGTGGGTGTGGAATGTTTGCGTTGCAAGTTTTAAAACGTGTAAAAGTGTTCTCACTTGTTTGCCATTGAACCCCATCCGTGCTCCTTCATCTGCCTGTTCCCTCAGTGCAGTCAGATCTACAGACAATACAAGACATCTAATAGGGCTACCAGCTTTCCGTGTGACTACACTTTGCTTAACTTTTTTTCGAAGCTCAACTCTGACTGAGTCTTATATACTCCACATGCATACACTGTCTATATAGGATTATTATAGGATAATGTAATGAGTTAGTTTAGAGGCAACATCATTGAGTAAGGATGGTGCACATGTGATAGGGTAAACTTTCCTTACATTATGGGAAGAAGAAGAGAAGGGAGAGAGAGAGGGGGAGAGGGAAGAGGGGAGTTACTAACCACTGAAGTTAGTTGAGACCATGTCGATAGCGGCGACACCATTAGCACTGGCCACACCCACCACTGCCTGTCTGACTGCCGCCAGCTCTGCCCCACTATCCGTCCTCACTCCTCCTACACATGACATACAGTATAGTCACACCATGACAACGAGTATATAGTCTCCGTAATAGACCACCCTAAATATACATACACAGCAATAGGGAAAAAAGTGCTCCTTTCAAATGTACAGAATATGTATTAGAGACAGAAGCAAGTCAATAGCAACAAATTTACTATATTAATGTAAATGCATGCACATAGTGAATTGACAGAGATGACATTTGGAAACCTATAAGATAAGATAAAATTGTTTCTTTTGTCAACAATAGTCCATACATATGTACCAATGGAAGCGAGGTAGTCATCAGAACCAAATACAACAGCCGCGAGTCTGAGATGACGAGTGCCGTGAGTGGCAAAGTGGCAGATGTGGTGAAGATGGAGGAGTCCCAGAGGAGACTCTGCCATGATGAAGAGAGGGAGAGGAGGGAGGGAGAGACGGTGGAACGACAGACACAAGTCCAGCTGTGACATGACAGGAGAGAGAGAGAGAGGGAACAAACGTAACTGTCTTATAGTAAAGCAATCTGAATAAGAAACATACTTTAATTCAGAGACATCCCTTGTTCAGAGGTACAGTATCCACTAATGTATAAGTATGCAGCAAAACCAAGCTTCCTCTATAGAAGTTTCCTTATAATTATTATTCTGAAACACGAACCTCAGCAACATGTTCCACTGATTCAACTTTTGGTAGCATGATTGCATCAGGTGACACCCCGTGACTGTCACATGACCTGAACACCTCTCGGAGGTCAAGGTTCATGAGACCACTCCCAACTCCGTTGACTCGCACGACGTGCTCGCTGAGGGAAGATTGGCTGTCGTCACGGCGACTGGTTGCTATGGCAGCACCGATGGACTTCCTCGCAACATCCTGAAGGGAGGAAAAGGGTTAAATTTAATGGTTATTGCAGTCACATCAGTAGCAAGGAGCACAATTATAGCATCCTATAGAATGGAGGGTCCTTTTTGCACTGCACATAAAGTATATACTTCTTATTGGCAGCCACTCCGTCCTCAATGTCAAAGATGATGGAATCCACCGATATGGTTGTGGTTTTCAAGACCTTCCTCTCGTCGCAGGCTGGCACGTACATGACGGCTCTCCGAGGAAAAAACAGTGACCTTCGCGACCCCTCACCCCCTCCGTTGCTACTGGCAACACCATCCCCTGTTGCCATAGTGTGGTGCATCGAATGGTTTGAAAACCAGCTATCAGAGTTTCTCGTCTTCCTAGATGTGGTACATGATGTAAAGTTCCTGGAGGGAGCAAGGTTTGATGATGGAGTAGATAGTTGAGAGGGCTGCTGATCACGTGATTGGCACGTGCACGCGGCGTTTCTCAGCGGCAGCAGACCGAGAACTGGACGAACAGCAATGGCCGTCCGATGAACTGGTGAGCGGACAGCTCCGGCCATAACTTCTGGGGCTAAAAGAGAACAGCTGACGGTGCGCGTCAATTAGCATTATTGAAGAAACGCGCATCGCAGAGCGGCGACACGCCCTCGACTCCCAGCAGGCTGGGGCCCGCGCTCGCGTCCGTCATCTTCATCTTGAACTGTGGCTACTGAGAGACCAGCAAGATCAGACTGTCGTGACCCTACAGCACGAGAAATGGCCGCGGAAGGCCTTCTCGCCGAGTATCCTGAGCTGCGGCCGTTCGTCCTCCCCAACGTGCGACTCACTGGCATCAGAATCGGCGCCGGAGCCTATGGCAGCGTGGAGGAGGTGGCCGTGCCTGGAGCCATCTGCGCCGCCAAAAAAATCCACGACATCTTCCTGGACCGCTCCGAGATCCCCGCGGCCGAGATCCGCAGAGCCACTGCCCAGTTCGTGAGGGAATGTCAGCTTATGAGCACCCTCGACCACCCGAATATCGTCAAGTTTCTGGGCGTCGCCTTCTTTCCAGGCTCGCGACTGCCAGCCCTCGTCATGAAGCGACTGCTAACGAGCCTTCACGACTTGCTGGACCCAGAAACGGACCCGCCTCCCCCGCCCAACACGCCCAAGCCGTTCTTCCCGCTGAGCCTAAAGTGCTCGATCCTGCACAACGTGGCGTGCGGTCTAGCCTACCTCCACGAGCGAACGCCGCCCGTCATCCACCGCGACTTGTCGGCCAGAAACGTTCTCCTGAACTCGGGGATGGTGGCCAAGATCGTGGATTTGGGCGTGGCTCGTATCGTTCCTCGTATGAGAACTGCAGCCACCATGACAAAGGGACCTGGGGCCTCAGTCTACATGCCTCCAGAAGCCAGTGCTCCTGCTAAATCGAATGCCCAAAAGTCGAAATACGATGCCAGTATCGATGTCTTCTCTCTTGGAGTTGTCACCATTTTCACAATCGGTGAAGTCTTTCCCTGTGATCCTCTAGAGCCCAACTATCTTAATGATGAAACTGGGTTGCTAGTAGCTCGCACCGAACTACAGCGACGTGCTGAGTACATGCGAAACGTGAACGAGCAACTCCGTGCCTGTGACCAGCTCCGTGGGACCACCTCTCATCGGCTGATCCAGCAATGCTGCACAACGGTCCTCACAAACGCCCGAGCATTCGTGAGGTGCTGCGTCTGTGGAGGAGGCCAGAGCTGGAGCCAGGGACAGCGGATGGAGGAGGTGCAAGCCTGCTCAGACCCAGCCCAGAACCAGGTGAGGTGCACGTAATGCCTGTGGTCTCTGCAACTGAAACTGTGATTTGTGTTGTGCAGAGTTCTGAGAGAGATCTGCAGTCTCGTGTGCAGGAGCTACAGCAACAGCTGCAGTCCAGGAACTGGGTGAGGGACTCCCCCATACTGTCATAACAATAGAGTTTTGATAGCGAATTCCGAAAATATCAGGAGAATGCAGATCTCCAGTCAAGCAATCAGGAACTACACTCCAGGAATTTGGTAAAGAGTCTGGGACAATATCCCCCCCCAATTACATTACAGCATTGCCGTGGCAAATGGGTTTGCCGTGGTAGAAGTATATTGAGTACTACGTGGTAGAAGTACTGCCACGAATCCTCTCTCTCATAGGCCAAGGACAGGGAGCTAGCTGAGGCTCGGCAGCAACTGAGACAGAAGGTAAATTTGCCATGTTCCTAAGTAGGTGGTGACTTTGTGTTTCTGAGTTTAGGAGGAAGAGTTAGCTAGACAAGGAGCAGAGCTGACAAGAGCAGAGGAGACTATCAGGAGAGAGCAGCAGCAGATTCAGGAGATGAGACAGAGAGTTAGACAGAGAGACTCAGAGCCGACTCAGAGGACAAAGGTCAGCTGTGACTACTGGCGCTATATGAATAATTTACTCCACCTTCCCTCTCAGATGACTCAGTCTGGTCGTCTAGCAACAGCTGTACCTGACCCTGAAATTAAACCTACAAAGGTAATCATTAATTCTTCCCTTCCCAATTTGTGTATGTCCAAGATACCGAGTTAACCCCATATCCACTGCCCTGTGAATACTGCTATTTGTTACTCCGACCCAACCTAGTCTTCCACCAACAGTTGTACCTCATTCTGTAGTGTACGCAGCTCTCTCTGTAAACATCTGGCAGAAATCTGATTATCTCTTACAACACGTGCATATCACTAAGTACGGTAGTACTTAGTATATACGGATTGACATGGTACCTAGCATCATAGATGTATGGGGCTATGATAGGGAGTTTTGTTCATCTTCTTCTTCTTCTTCTTCTTCTTCCTGTTCGACCAGCATAACTCAAAAACCGAAAGAGATAAGCCATGAAACTTTATAGGAATGTACATATCGATAACCAGTGGACTCATCATACCTTTTTGTTTGTAAACAATGTTGTTTACTGTAAACACAACAAAATTGCCCCAGGCAATACTTATAATGGACAATACGTTATAATGGCCATACTAGATGTGTCGGTGTAACTCACAATTGGTAAGAGCTATGTGAAAGAAAGTTTGTATACCAATGTATTCAATAGGGGGTTTCCTTGGAAACGTACCCTCGAGGGGTGTAGTTTCTAGCTTGCTTTCGAG